TCAAGAATAGTGTGAGACCCAAAACACTTGCCTGTGGAACACCAAACTTAATGAACTCATCATCACTAGTAAAACCATTGATGATAACACACTGCGTTGTATTTGTTAAATAACTGTCAAAAATCTGGAGTGATTTCCCCCTTATACCAATAAAGTTAAGTTTATGCAGAAGAACAGGAATCGATACAGTATCAAAGGCTTTAGATAAGTCGAGGAATATTCAAAGCGTTTCATACTTTTTTTCGAAGCCTTTAATCCCTGTTTCTGTAAGTTCTAAAACTGCATCTTCGGTACTTTTACCTGACCTGAATCGATATTGATTTTTTGATAAGATACTGAAATTGTCTAGAAATTGTTGAAGTCTTTTATTAAGAATTTTCTCTAATATTTTGGAGAAGGGAGTCAGTATGGATATGGGCCTATAATTGCTAGTATTAACTTTGTCTCCATTTTTATAAATTGGGCGAACGACGGCTTTTTTGAATACCTTGGGAAACACTCCATTATATAAAGAAAGATTGAAAACGTGAGTAAGAACAGGAACCAGTACATGTCTAGCAACTTTAACTGGACTGGCAGAGATCCCATCCCAACCCTCTACACAGTTGTTTTTGAGGCCAAGAATGATTTGCTCAATTTCATGGTCATCAGTTGTAAGTAGCGCCATCGAGCTTGGTTGAGTGACCACTCTGGAGGGACAGTAAGGGACATCATGAACAGTTGATCCATTGATCTGTAAAGCCAAATTTTTTGCAATGCTTGCTTGCAGTGTTTACGGCTAGAGTGGGGTTTTTATTTAAAGAAAGAAGTTTACTAGACGATGATGATAGCTACTGTTAATATATGCAATATTCTTTAAAAGCTTCCAAGTAATTTTTGGGTTCTTACTGTTTTTTTTAAACTCATTACATTCATAGGCTCGTTTATTTTTTTCAACATATGATTGCAAAAAAATTCTATATCTAATGGATGATATCCTGAGAATACTATTATTTGGATCTTTTTTTAATCGAAGGCAAAGCCTATCACGGTGACGAATGCATCTTAATAGTCCTGAAGTAATCCAGGGATTTATTATCCCTTTTCTACTTGGTATAATGACAAATGATGAATTCCTAACAATCACTGAAGAAACTTTTTCAACCAGTTTAGACGCAGCGTCCTCGGCATTATTAGAGTTTAATACATCTGAGAAATCGAGATATTCGAGGTCACTTACACATGAATCGACGCATAGATATACACGTCTAAAACTAATGTCGAGGCACGATTTTGGGTTTTAATGATGACATGATCAAGGCAGCTAGACAATCTCGTAGGTAAAGTGTGGGCAGGTCAGGTAGTAAACCATGAGAAGACAAGACCTCTAACTACATATCTGATGATGGGTCAGAGCTTTGTGTTGAAATATTAATATTTACATCTCCCAAAACCATTGTTTTTTAATTTATGCAAAAATTTGAGCGTTAAGGCTAAACTATTTAGGAAGTTTTCAACACGTCTATTAGATGGGGAACTATATAAGGATACTCCATCCATCCATCCATCAGCCTTTCTCCGTCCACTGCTGGACATAGGCCTCCCCCACAGAACGCCACAATGCGCGGTCCTGCGCTATCCGCATTCAGCGGCTTTGACGATGTCCTCAGTCCACCTTGTTGGGGGCCGCCCCACGCTGCGTCGTCCGGTATGTGGTCGCTACTCGAGGACCTTTCTTACCCAATGGTTGTCAGATCCTCGAGCGATGTGGCCTGCCCATTGCCACTTCAGCGTGCTAACTTTTCGGGCTATGTCGTACACACCGGTCCTTCTACGGATCTCCGTATTTCGGATCTTATCACGTAGGGAAACACCGAGCATAGCCCTCTCTATAGCACGCTGCGCGACTCTGAGTTTTGTTATGAGGCCGACTTTCAGAGACCACGTCTCAGTCCCATAAGTCATCACTGGTAACACACACTGGTCATAGACCCTTCTTTTCAGGCACTGGGGAATTTTGGCCGTGAGGATGTGCCTAAGCTTCCCGAACGCTGCCCATCCGAGTTGGATTCGTCGGTTGACCTCTTTCTCGAAGTTGGATTTGCCCAACTGGACTGTTTGTCCTAGGTAGACGTAATGATCGACAACTTCGAGAATTGCATTCCCAACAGATACTGGTGCTGGAGTGACATGGATATTGAACATGACCTTGGTTTTGTCCATGTTCATCCTTAAACCAACCCGTTGGGAAACTCTGCTGAGGTCATTGAGCATTGTGCCTAGGTCCTCCAGGGATTCTGCCATGACCACGATATCGTCTGCAAATCGAAGGTGAGTTATGTATTCGCCGTTGATGTTGATGCCGAGTCCGGTCCAATCCAGAAGCTTGAAGACGTCTCCCAATGCAGCGATGAACAGTTTCAGGGAAATTACGTCTCCCTGTCTGACACCCTTCTGCAATGGAATCGGTTTCGTACTTCTCTCCTGGATTCGGACTGACATAGTGGCGTTTCTATACAGGCACTTCAACAGTTTGATATATCAATAATCAATTTGGCACCGCTGGAGGGACTGCAGCACCGCCCAAGTCTCGACCGAATCGAAGGCCTTCTCATAGTCCACATATGCTAGACACAGAGGCCGATTATACTCCTCGGTCTTCTGTATGATCTGACGTAGCGTATGTATGTGGTCCATGGTACTAAAGCCCTTTCGAAAACCGGCTTGTTAGGGAGGCTGGAAGTCGTCGAACCTGCGCGAAGGTCGATTTGTAATGATTCTCGAAAACAACTTATAGACGTGGCTCAAGAGCGAGATAGGCCGATAGTTCTTCAAGCGGGTTTTATCGCCTTTCTTGAAGAACAACACCACCACGCTCCTGGTCCACGCCTCTGGAACAATGCCCCCGAGGATGACAGAGTCGAATAGCTTCTGAACGGCCACGAGGACCGGCTTACCGCCCGCCTTCAGAGGCTCCATAGTGATTCCGTCATCGCCCGGAGCTTTACTGTTTTTAAGCTGCTTGAGAGCCATCCTGATCTCGTACAGGCTAACATCCGGGATGTCCTTGGTATAGTGTCGGGTTAGCTTGGATCGTGGATCTTGTACCAAGCCGACAACAGGAGTTTGGGATGTTTTGTACAACTGGCCATAGAACAGCTCAACTTCACTCAAGATCTCATCTTTGGAAGAAATGACAGTGCCGTTGTCGGTTTTCAGTCTGGTTAACTGACTCTGCCCAACAGAGAGATCTTTTGCGAACACTTTGGAGCCTTGGTTCCGCTCTATCTCCTCTTTAATACGCTTGGTATTGTAGAGGCGAATATCGCGTCGCACAGACTTCGAGATCTGTCTATTTAGCTGCCTCATCTTAGACCAGGAGGCTGGAGACTGCACCGTATTTCCCCCCCTCCGTTTAATGAGCTCAAGAGTGTGGTCAGAGAGTTTTCCGGTTCTAGGAGCACGGCGGGTCCTGAAAAATTTCGACCCAACCATGTGAACAGTTTCCACAAACTTGTTGTTCATATCGTTCGCCGTTTCGCACTCGTCTAGGCATTGGAAGCAATTTTGAAGTTCGAGTCGAAAGCTCTCGGGGTTTTCGTACTCGGCAGGTGTGGGACGTAGACCAGACTTCATCAGTCGGGACCGCTCGGCTTTGACACGAATATTCAATGTGCCACGTAACATTCGGTGATCGCTCCCGGTTTTCACCCTGTTGATCACTGAGACATCATTGAATATTTGCCGTTTATCTGACAAGATAAAGTCTATCTCGTTCCGTGTCGAACCATTAGGGCTTATCCAGGTCCATTTCCTTTGTTGCGACTTTTTGAAGAAGGAATTCATCATGTAGAGATTTTCCTTCTCCAAAAAATCAGCCAACTTCTGCCCTCTCTGGTTTCTCTGCCCGAATCCGAATTGTCCTACTCTCAACTCATCGCTTTTCCTTTTGCCTAGTTTCGCGTTAAAGTCTCCCATAACCACAGTGAAGTGAGTTTTGAATGAGCGGATGGCTTTCGAGATATCCTCGTAGAAAGCCTCTACCTCATCGTCGAGGTGCGTCGAAATCGGCGCGTAGACCTGGATTATGTTTCCCATTAAAAATTCAAATAAAAGAAAATCTCAGGAAAGGGAAGATTCTTCTTCTTCTTCTTTTTGGAAAATGGCGGTGCACTTTTGTGGATTTCGCCAGACTCGAGTGATGCAGCTTGGTTGTTCAGTAGGAATTGACTTTGCTTTTTTTTGAAGTATGTTGTGAAAGCACAATATGTGAAAGAAGTAAACAATGTACTTGAATTTTTGTAATTGGATATTAAATGCGAGTCTCATCTAGATTTTTTTTGGTATATTAACCAATATTGCAAACAGTAGCTGATCAAAAGGATTGAATCAAATGAAAAATATAAATGTCTACATAAGCTCAGCGATCCTACGTGCGGCGATCGTTTTGATTTATTTATTATCAATTTCGAATTTCGAAAAATACAAATGCTTAGTTATGGGGTAAATGAATACATTGCAATTATGAATGAATGAATTACTAGCTGACCCGGCGAACTGCGTACCGCCTTTATAACAGTCGATAAATGTGGCTATTTTTATTATCTAGCATAATTAAATTTGGGACTTTACAAGCGAAATAAAACAAACACAAAAAAGTTTAACAGTTTACTCGGATAATTCAATATATAAAATTCTCGTGTCACGGTGTGCGTAATTGAACTACTCCGAAACGGCTTGACCGATTTTCATGAAATTTTATATATAATTTTATAATTGTATAAATTATTGAAATTTCATTTTCTCTATATTAGGTATATTATCCTTATTAACTATTTAACTTTTTTGTATTAGTTTTATTGCGGCTACAAAATCATTAATTTTATAAATATAAATTAATATAACCACCATAGATGAATGATTGGTCTCGCTTCACTCGACTAGATACCGCCGGCGTACTTGTCTAATGCGGCAACAAATACTATGCCGAAATCAGCATACCCGAGCTTTCACCGGTGTCAGTTAACCTGACAGTTGTGTATGGGGTGTACGTAGTGAATGGTGTCGATTCTGACATGATTCTCTAAACTTAAAACTAAATTTAACATCAGTCTGTCCTTTTCATCCTCTATAGAGAATGACAAGGATACACTGTTGTCAATTTTAAGTTTAGCTTTAGAGAATCATGCCAGAATCGACACCAATGTTTTATTAAATTTTGGTGTTAATCAAAAGTAAAATGCCAGTTTATGTAGTGAAATAATACAACAATAAATAGCTGGGATCACATAATATCAATAAGTATAGTAAAATTTCGAAATTTCAACATAACATAACGCACGCCTGCTCCAACAAAAACCAAGAACAGGATGGATAGTGCGTACAGTGCTGCCATATCTACCAACTTTTTGGTAGATCTACCAATTTTCACTTCAGTCTACCTATCTACCACCCTAGACCTAAAAACTACCTATTTTTTAATTAGTTTGACATATCACCACTTTGAATTATTTTAATATCGACGAGCGACATTGCGATGTATTGCGTGAGCCATGCAACGATGCGTCAAGCATACATAGAGTCCAGACCATAAACCACAAAAAAAAAGCAACAGTTCGCCATGAGTTCGGCGTTCGCACAATTTCACGCCCATATTTTACTATTCCTACTGTGGCCTGTTCCCGGTTGGTTTGTTGCGGAATCAATGTTGAATCTTTGCTCCTGGTTTATTGTAAAAACTAATTAACTGCATATTAACGGTGCTGATTGCTGTTTGTTCTATGTTGCGAGCATTTATATAAATAATGGATTCTGACAGCAGCGAAAGCGATGCACATAGTTCTAGGTTAGGAACTCCGCCACGAAAACCTAGAAAAAGGCACTATGACCAAAAATATTCGAAATTATGGGAGAAAGACAAAGAATGTGCAGGTTGGCTTTAAGAAATTACTAAGGGTGACGGATATTTTTATTGCAAATCATGTAGGTGTGATCTGAAGTGTTATCTGCATTGCATTACATGCATTTTTAATCTTAAAAAATCTTCTAAATTGAGGTGGTAGATCTACCAATTTTGCATTTTACATTCTACCAACTTCTACCAACATTTGGCACAAAATCTACTAATTTTCTAAAATTCGGGTTGGCAGCACTGAGTGCGTAGTCGGTTTAAGCCACAATTTAAAAAAAAAAAAGTTACTGTGACGAGATTTTCGATTTTCGTCTGTGTTGTGATTGTGGAAATATTTTAAAAACGACTGTACTTTCGATTTTATTTGTTTAATTTTATATGACTGCTCAAATAAAAGTATACTAGTATTTCTTTCATCTTATTTACAAGGATCAAGAGTGTACATAAAGTGTTCGAAAGAATTACAAATTTTTACTTGTGACATTTAGTTGCCGTCCTCGTTACTCATGCAAATGGATGATTCTGTGATTTCTCCTGGTAAATCGCAGTCCTATATTATTTTATTACTTTAGTTGCCCCGTTATTTATATAAGGATTTTATTTTAGGTACTAAAATGGCAGACTCAGCTTCTGAAAGTGACTCGAGCTCTCTTGATGGTGGAGCAATGCTTCCTCCAAGTACGATTTCTCGTGATCAGCTGCAAAAAAGGATTGAATCTCTGCAACAACAAAATAGGTAATATTGTAATTATATTGCAAAGTTCAAATGATATCCTAGTGTAAAATAGGAAACAAACTCCTTTTCGTAAGTCAACATTACTCTAAAATTAAAAAAAAGGGACATTAAAATTTTACAAGTGACTTTATTTCGGTGTAAAGATAAAAATGTTTAGCTTCTTTTTATTATTTCCAGAGTGCTTAAGGTTGAAGTTGACACATATAAGCTTCGCGTAAAAGCTCTTCAAGAAGAGAATCGTGCTTTGAGACAAGCTTCAGTTTCCATAGTGAGTTATTATGAATTAAATATTAACACATACTGAATGATTGCATAAAATAATACAAAAACTTAATAGATAACAAAATATGTATTTTGTGCAGTGCAGCCAGACAACATTTTTCAAATACAAAAAATGGAGATGAAAATTATCAGTTTGACTCATATATTTTTTGTTATGTTTGATCACACAACTTTTTACAATGTTGTCGGATTTTGATAATTCTTTTTTTATTGGAAAGAGTTCACTCCGAAGTTGGTCCCATATTAATTTGCAAAAAAAATGACCCAGGGTAGGAAAATAAGGGGTGATTGATTGATCACTCACTGATTGTAGAGCCTCAATGACACAGGGCGAGTTTACAAGCTACAAGCCAGCGAGTCGCAGACAGTAAAAAGCTGATGACACAGGGCAAGTTTACAAGCTGCTAGGGAACTCACTGGCTTGTAGCTTGTAAACTCGCCCTATGTCATCAAGGCTTTAGTAACAATTAGTGCAATATAATTGCATGATGGTGTTTGGATGCTATACAAGTCCATTTTTGGAAAGCTATCTGCTTCATCTTAATATTACTTTTTATTATGATTATAGCAAGCTAAAGCTGAACAGGAAGAAGAATATATATCAAATACATTACTGAAGAAGATTCAAGCTTTGAAAAAGGAGAAAGAAACATTAGCTCACCATTATGAGAGAGAGGAAGAATGTCTTACTAATGACCTTTCCAGAAAACTGAATCAGGTTGGTAGCCATTTAATTGCTGTTATGTCTGCTGATTTTTTAATAAACAATACCGGACTGCCAGAATCTATAATCATCGTTGGATTGTGCAGTAGTTGATTTGCAAGACCAAGTATTTAACTACCATTCAATCCATATATATTATAAATTCCGACAAGAATGAACAGTAGTGGATGGCCTGCTAATATTCAAAATAAAATGTTACTTCACATGATTTCACATGATTATTATTACATTTTTATCATGCAGATCCTCTGTCCCAAAAGGGATATACGTTATTAGGATGCGCAGTTGTGTTATTCGGCACAAACATAGCATTTCTGTAAAGCATTAAAAATAAAGTGCCAATTGTTAACATCTGTATTTAGAATGAATATTGGCAGGAGTTTTTACTATTTTTACAGAAAATATATTCATAATTTTATTAAAAACCCACGATAAAGATAATAATTTTCTTGTCTATTGTCATGTGACCCAAAACGCTTGGGATTGATGGAGCCTAAAATGACGTCACACGCAAGTATACTTCTGGTTAAAGTGACATTTGATTGTATGGTTTGACGTTTTAATGACAGTCGTGTGACGTCACACACCAGTGCGACGACATATTGTCCAGAGATACGTTTTTTGCGGCAACTTGAAAATAGAGTTTTTGATTTGGTTTTTTTACCGAAATACACAACGTAATGATGAATATCCATCTTTTTATGGACTCTATAAACATTAGTAAATAATGTGAGATCGTTTTTTAAAACTTGTCAAATACCCTATTGCAACTTTTTCAGCAGCCCTTGTATACCTATGTTTTTACAATGTTTACTTTTAGTTACGTCAAGAAAAATGTCGTCTGGAGCAGACACTAGAACAGGAGCAAGAGTGCTTAGTTAACAAACTAATGAGGAAAATTGAAAAACTTGAAGCTGAAACTCTTGCAAAGCAAACCAATTTGGAAAGACTTCGTAGAGAAAAGGTAAATTCATAAATTTATATCTAGTCACATTACAATCTTAATTCACTGTTTTATATTTTTTTAAACTTGGTAGGTTGAATTGGAAAATACTTTAGAGCAAGAACAAGAAGCCCTTGTGAATAGACTTTGGAAAAGGATGGACAAACTTGAGGCAGAGAAAAGATCTTTACAAATAAGGCTAGATCAGCCAGTTTCGGACCCTGCAAGTCCTAGGTAAATGTTTTTTTTTGTGTTTTATATTGACATGACAGAATAATGTTTTATTTTTCTCTAACATTCATTCATTTTAGTATGCTGTAGCTTTTACCATTTCAAAATGTCTAATAACTTTTAAAATCTATTGCCAGGGATATAAGTAATGGTGACACTGCCTCGAACCTCAGCAATCATATCCAAACACTGCGTTCGGAAGTTGTCAAGTTAAGGTACCCAATAAACTCCTCTTAATTTATATGGCATGACATGACAATGACATTACACGGAACACATAAGGGAACATACCCAAACTACGTGACCCTTTTTTTCGTGTTTTTTGACCCCCTCCCCCCCCCCGGTGACCAAGCGTAGTATATGCCCAGAACGGCCCCCCCCCCCCCCCCCCCTAGTTTTCACGTAGTATATTTTATCAATATTTTTTGCGTAAAGTTACAAAATAATGGCTTTTGTTTGTATTTTCTTATACGGCCCCTAAAAGTGCGTACTTTGAGAATGCGTACCTATAATTGCATACGGTTGTAATTGTGTTTAGTAAAAAATATATCAAGAAAAAATAGTACATTGCACAATGTATATGTACGGGCCGTTAAAAAAGAATTACGATCGAGTACTTACAAATGTAATTTTGTTAAGTTCATTGGCTCGAGTCTGCCATCCCGTTTCTCTTCATAATGATTTTCATCACATTTGCGGGGAAGGAAATAAAATCAGAATACAGCAAAAACAAGAAACTATTTATTAAATCAAATATCTTCAATGAAGACGTTACCACTATCAATCCACTGGGAAACGTTATGGATAATGGGGGCGATGGTTAATACCGGGGTAATATCCATGTTGATATCAACTGCCTCATCATCGACGGTCTCGACGTCTACCCACTCCACATCTTCCTCCATAACACACAATATCTCTTGTGGTCGTCTGGAGAGAACCCGCAGAGGTCGGACGCGAGACGCGTCCGTTGCTCCGCCATGAATATTTTTGCGGTGACTGGTCATTGACACTTTCGACGCAAAATATAAGCCACAGATGGTGCATGTCCTATCGTTAATATTTTTCTTTATTGTTGGGCAGTAGGTGTCATACGGCATTTCTTTGCCCCGTGTCACATCAGGGCGCAATGAGATGCACTGCCGCACAAGCAATGACGGAAATGTCTCCGATCCGACTTCATCTGGGCTTGGTATTTTAAACGGATTTTGCGACATCGGAAAAGGTGCCGGCAAGAACCCTTGGTGCAGAACATTTCGTAGAGCACTGCGGCGAGGAGCGCAGCAGGAACTATCGGCGCACTTTGTAATTTGTAGGAAATACTGGCTTTCCCGAACGTGATTTCCATACCACTTGTCGGATACTTGTGCAGTTTCGGAAAGCACTTCCCCAGGGGGCACATACTCCGCTATCACGTTGTGGTTGTCAATTACCACCTGGGACCAAATCTCAGCCAACGTTTCACCTGAAAACAATACGAAATTAAATATTATTTAAATTCAACTTTAATAACAGCAGTGGAGAAGACAACGTATCATTTTATTAAAATATATACCTGCATGCTGAAAATTTTTCACTTCTAGTTCTTCATCGATGGTTCGCCCTTGAGAATCGAGATGGGAACCGTAGTGCTCATATGGAAGGACTACCGTGGCTAGTTCACGGCTCAATGGTGCCATCCTTCGCTCTACTCGGTTATAAGCCGATCGACCCGGTGCGTTGGTAAATACAAATAGCCCATCCAAATCGTACTTTTGAAAGTGCGATATACAATGAGATATCACCTTTTTGTAGCGTGGATTTTCGTCCGGTCCTCCATCCACTGAAATTATCATTACAGGCTTGACTTTTCCATCTTTCCCCAAAGCCAGATTTTTGAATTCATCCAATGTTAGTAGTTTTATAAGATCATTGGCGTGAGTTGCTGCTGTTGAACTACTATGTTTTCCGCTGCGTATTGCGATATACGTTGGGCCAGAATATGTAACAGCTTCTTTTCTACCCATGCAGTTTTCTTTGATTATGATCCCAGCATATACCGAAGGAGTCAGTTGATGGCGTTGTCCAACAGCAAAATCGTGGTCGTCGAGGCGCACTTTATAATTCAGATGCATTAAAACAGGAGCTTGTACTTTTGCAGCTGTTTTTCCTATGGGTACTTTGGCTTTATCATCTTGAGAGATAAAAACTACCTGTTCAGGCCCAAGTATAGATGCAAGCTCTTCGAGACTGTTGGCAGTAGCCTTGCAGAAATATTGATCGGCGTGATCTCGGTGTCTATCTGTTTGGGCTCGACACAGTCTTACAGGCACAGTTGTGACATGGCGCTTGCCTTCTAAAGATCCAGAATACTTTGGAATCAGCCTACGGTATGTGGAGGTTCGTGAGATAACAAATCCATCTTCAACAAGAAGTGCATGCAATTCATCAAGAGTCTTACAAGTTCTCAATACTTCTGATCGGCGTCGATCAGCAGCTGAGCTTCCATGTGTTGCTATATCGCAAATTACTTGAAGAAGCCCTGCCTGATTTTCTTCAAGTGGAGGGCGTCCTGGCTCAGTCCTGATAGATGAAGATTGTACGTTGGAATGAGCGGATTTCAGACTCAAAATTTCAGATTTTTGTTTTGCTCTAAATTTTCGCATGTTATTTGCACGGACTATTTTGTTATGTAACTCTTTTTTCTTTATTTCAGTATCGTGTCTTAATTTTTTAATCTTCATCTCAATTCTATCTGTGCCCAGCCCTGCATCTCGCTTTTTTACGGAGGCATTTAATTCAGCTTCAAGAACTGAAATTTCAGATTTCAAAACGTCTTGTTTTGGTGTCGGACCTTTTATAGATGTAGAAGGTATTGAAGTAGATGCTTGACCAACACACGATTCATTATCGCAGGCTAGAAATAAAAATAACTATGTGAATCACTACCCATTTAAAATTAAAAAGTCAAAAAGGGCTTCGTTAAAAGTTGTACAATATGTATAATACAGAATCCTAATTTAACTACACCATATACATTGTAAAGACGATTTAAGCTACAGAATTTTAAAACAAGTTTCTGACAAAAATTAGATGCATTTTAGTACAAGCTTTTATTACTGACTGTACCTTCTTTTCACACAGTCACCAACTGCCTGTTGAGCGGGTTCTAATGAGCTCAAACACGATGAGGTTGTGTCATTTTATAACGGAGTTTCTATAGCCTCTTTCATCGTCATATTATTGCCACGCGATATACCTATTCGTGCAAAAATTCAGCTTACCCGGCACCAGGAAGTGCATCAAATTTAATTTCAGCAAGAATTGAGTACAAACAAATATCGGGACAAGTGAAACTAAGTGAAAGCTTGTTAAAAATATACCGGTAGAACAGATAGAGTTAATAGTAGTTAGTGGTGTACCTTTCCGAGGAATAGAAATCGACTCATCACTCTTGTCATCACTGGTAATATCTTCAATTTTGGGAAGCAATTTGAGATCACCTTGCGTGGTTGAAGCTTTTCGTGCAGGTAGCTACATTTAACCAAATACAAAAAAGAAACACACATCACCAAGTTCACACATGCGCCAGCAGAAATAATAAATTGATTAGTTTGCTAATATTTTACCGAGACTAAAGCACATGAAAATAATGAAAATAATATATGCTACAGTAGAATCCGGATATATAACGACATTCAAGGGACCGGCGATATTATGTCGTACACCGGACGACGCACAAAACGGTAGGAGTATTTCTTAAGTACATACATACCTAGTCATGTACGTACGAACGTACATATGTAACATATTGATTTTACTATTTAGATAAATAAAAAAGGTTATAGGTATATGCAGTACCTATGTTTAGGCGCGAAACACACAGAAACGGCATACAGGTGAAGATACAGTGAAGGCGCGGGACAGGCAAGGTACGGATGCGATTAAAGTTATACCACAAAACGCATAACGTATGGTTAAGTTTGTTTTTTAGGTTATAAAATCGTCATGGCTGCGCTGCGCCGTTTGTGTACCTATAATTCAAAAATGTCGCCTACGTACATTTTGTATGAAACGAATTGAAGCGGCGGCGTCGTAACTGCGCTGCGCCTGTCTTGCGCCTTCGCCTTTTGCCCTTTCTGTGTGTTTCGCGCCTTATAAATGCGAAAGGTTGATTTTCGTATGGTAAAAGTAAACACAAACTGTGATTTACGCGCGCCAATAGGGAGAGTTGAAAGGTGAAGCGCGCGGGGGAAGTGATGTGGCCGAGGCATTTGTCAAAGTTGAAACAAAACATTGCGCGTCGTATAAGCTATAAGCGGTTAGTCGCTATAAGCGACGTCGTTATAAGTGAATTCTACTGTATTCTCATACCAGTCATACCGAAAAAGAGAATGTAAAAAAAAAATATTTTATGTCAGTATAGGCCGGAACTATACAAGCTAGTTCCGCATTTGAAATCATGAAAAAAATGTTTGCAAAAGTATGAAGAATCCGTGCAACAAAAAATTCAGAACACTAACCTTTACAAAGAAATTGAGGCGTCGTGCGCTTTTCTTAGTCGCAATTTGACAAAGCTCTTCAATTTTTAATAGTGCGAGACGCTCCAACTCCTTCGGATTTTTTTTGTATTGATCCCTTAATGGCACCCAAAATTCGTTTGTTTTTTTTTGGATTGCTTGCATCGACAAGGAATCCTTGTGACATTTTGTAAATGCACTGAATAGTCGATCATACAACGACATTATAGGTACCTAAAAAAATACCGAACTGCCGACAAGCGACGTCCACACTCTGCGATCGCTTGGGTCAAACTGACATGGCGGCCGGCAGTCGGCAGGCGTGCGCGTCGGCCGCCGTCAGCGATTCTCGAAAATTTTATAGTGATGTCGCGATACTGGACAAGTTTTATTGATGGGGTAATAAAAACGTGGCGTTCTTAAAAAAAAATTATTGACTACGTGACAAGAAACCAAACCCCCCCCCCCCCCCCCGGTGACCATGAGTGGTACTTTGAAGACCCCCCTCCCCCCCCTAAATCGGTCACGTAGTTTGGGTATGTTCCCTAAGTATACAATAGGATTCATAACATTGAAGAAAAAAGGGATGTTGACTAACTTTTTTTCTTTGTCAATCAGGTAGATTATTATCAAAAATATTGGACACATATTTTTTGCTTTTCCCACATAATCAAAACTCTCTGTAATAGATATGTTGATTCCAAATGTCACATGATGACATATCTCAGTACAATTTTTACTTAGGAGTGAACTTTTACGAGCTTTATCTTTGTCTTTTTTGGTTGAATGACATAAGAAAAAATAAGTATCCATTATTATTTGATAATCTAAGAGATAAACTAAATAGAATTTCGTTTACTTTACCCTGTCAATATCCTATTAGATTTGACTAATAAAATTATAAATTACTTTATCAATGACTTACTTTATTAATGATTACTTTATCATGTTGAGTTTAGTAAATTCATAGTCATATTTTTATTAAGATGAGACTAGATGTTTAAATGAAAAGAATAAATATCATAGTGTGTTAAATTTCCTGTACAGGAATCAATTGGCGGTATCACAAAATGAGAACAAAGAGAAAATGCATCGTTTCGCCTTGGAAGAGAAGCACATCAGGGAAGAGAATCTACGTTTACAACGGAAACTGCAGCAAGAAGTGGAACGTCGCGAGGCTCTGTGTCGACACCTTTCCGAGAGCGAGTCTTCTCTGGAAATGGAGGAGGAGAGGCAGTTTAATGAAGCGCTCAGTGTAAGTGTGTTAAAATGTATTTTCTTTTTTATTTTGCCCTCAAACAGATAGTTGATAGTAATCGCAACTTCTGAATTGGTTACAGAAGACTCTAGTGCATAAAGTTTGTGAATAATAACATAAAATATTGTTTTACATACAAATTCAATAAGAGTAGTAATTATTGGAGATACAGAATCATTTGATATTTATTTTATCTTAGGTTGTATGTGGTATTGTAGGCGCGGTCACGCAGCGTGTGGCTAGGTGGGTCGAGACCGTCGTTGCTGTACCTATCGCTCTCGGAATGCGTATTCCTTTTTGTTTTACTATAATCTGTCGGAATACTATGTTGCATGGTTGTATGTGGTATTGTAGGCGCGGTCACGCAGCTTGTCGCTAGGTGGGTCGAGACCGCTATCATCTTATGTACCGTCTCGTCGCTGTACCTATCTCTTAGGAATGCGTATATCCTTATTTGTTTTACTATAATCTGTCGAAATACTATGTTGTAAGGTTGTATGTGGTATTGTAGGCGCGGTCACGCAGCTTGTCGCTAGGTGGGTCGAGACCACTATCATCTTATGTACCGTCTCGTTGCTGTACCTATCGCTCTCGGAATGCGTATATCCTTATTTGTTTATTATAATCTGTCGAAATACTATGTTGCAAGGTTGTATGTGGTATTGTAGGCGCGGTGACGCAGCTTGTCGCTAGGTGGGTCGAGACCGCTATCATCTTATTTACCGTCGTTGCTGTACCTATCGCTCTCGGAATTAGTATATTCTTATTGTTTTATTTATTAGCGTAATTATTAGCGTGGAATTAGTATATTCTTATTGTTTTATTTACAGCGACAGAGTACAAATTATAACTTACACATTATTATATAAAACTAGCTAACCCAGCGAACTTCATTCCACCATAAAAATAGGGTTAGCTGAAAAAAGGGTGAAAATTGAGGTTGTATGTAATTTTTAATGACACGTCATAAAAAAAAGTCTAAAAAATAAAAAAAATAGGGGTGGACAACTTTTATCACTTAGGGGTGTAAAAAATAGATAGTTGCCGATTCTCAGACCTACTGAATATGCATATAAAATTAAAAAAAAAAATCGGTCAATCCGTTTCGGAGGAGTATGGTAACTAACATTGTGACACGAGAATTTTATATATAAGATTATTGTATTAAATAAACTTGCATTGATGCTGAACACGACATTTACTTAATTTTAGCTCTTCATATATTTGAAAATATAAATTAAATATGCAATTATGCATTTTACTATAATCTGTCAAAATACTATGCTGTAAGGTTGTATGTCGTTTTGTAGGCGCGGTCACGTAGCGTATCGTCGCCGGGTGGGTCGAGGCCGCTATCACCTTACGCTCCGCCGTTGTTACCTAACGCGGGCGGGATGCGTACCGCCCTCCATCTCAATTCACAGGTAAACAAACAATGATAAAATGTTAACGCTACGAGCTTCACTTTGAGCTTTTAGAAAATTAAAGTTCACAAAAGGTGGTGGTGTTACACGGGCGTTGCGTTTGCGCAAGTCGTTGCAATGCAATGATTTCAACGCAGCAAGTGCCACATGAGAGCAGCTTCGGCGCAGCGTCTACGTTTTCAAAATGCTATAAAATACTGCGCCTCCGCTCCATCGTTTCAACGCAGCTTCCTTCCCCACCTTTTCTCCCTCTCTCTTTGTGCGTTGCGTCGCCGTCCGTCATTACATTCAACGCATCGTGTGGCATGTTGTTTGATTTACATGTACGGATTTGATTAACGACGGAGCGCTACGGCTAAGTCGACGGAACGCTAATGCAACGTACAGAAAACACCCGTGTGGCACCTCCCATAGGCCATTAGTAAGTAACTTGAGTTGTAAGTTAAGGTGACGCTTACGGAATAAATAAAAAAGGTTGGAAGGGCCACGTAGGCGTAGCACTCGTGTTACAAAAAAATAAGCGCATTTCCTTGATTTTTCACTAAGAGTAGGCATTCATGGAAGAAAAGCGCTGACGGATCTTGAGGCGTTTCACCCCACGAGCGGTTCATCCGGTCGGTCTATCATAGCACCACAGTATGATTCATCCCATTACAAACGATGTATTGAGGTATTGAATCGGTCGTTCCGCCCAGCACCCAAGGAGTGGGGCGAAACGACCTATTAATGAAAAGACGGGTGATTTGGCCAGCAGGGTGCTGGTCTCGTGAGGTAAAACGCCTGAAGACCCGCGCTGTCATTGTCCTTCACAAAGCAAGTAAGACTGATTGCCCTTTCATTTTAAGATGTTTTTTATCTATTCCGTGGCAGTTCTAGTTGGCTAACGGCGAGTTTTAATAATCAACCTTCAGTAAAAGGTAAGCATTATCTGCTTAGGTTTCTTAGCAACAGTTGTTATTATGACCGAAATAATAAAAATATCTAGGCAATAAAACTCTAACACGCTTCTCTTACTCCAATTTCATTAAAGATTGGCTCTAACTAAAGGCCAATAATTGTATAGTAACGAAATTCTATTAAGTCAACCAGTTAAATTATCCTAAAAAATACACATATGTTTTCTTTCGTCAATCGACCAAAAAATTACATAGATAAAGCGCATCAAAGTTTGGGAGTGGCGACTCGTGACGTCACTTCTAAGTAAAAGTTGTACCAAGACGAGAGCTCATGCGACATTTTATATCAATATATCTTTGTAACGTTTTGATTACTAGACCAAAGAAAAATATGCGTTCACTACTTTGTATAATGTACCTGATAGAACAATGAAGAAAAAAGTTAATTATCACTTAGAATTTTTCTAAGAGGGACAGCAGTACACTTGAACTTACATTCCAACTAGGCACATTCATTCTGTAATATACAAAAATTATATCATTTTTCAATACTCGAATTGTAGAGTGGGCAGAGAGGTTTCTAAGGTGGCCATTGCGCCATGCCCCCTGGGGATATTACTCACTGTACCAGCCTTAAAAGGTCATATGGGCAGCCAGTGGGCCAGCTTTCACTTTCGGCCTATAGTGCTCTGCGTATCTCATACAATACTGTATTTAGGGCTCTGCTCAAGCTTCCTCGCTACTGCAGTGCCTCAGGCATGTTTGCCGATGTAGGAGTCGACGACTTCTATGCGGTTATTCGCAAAAAAATTGGCTCATTAGTTAGAAGAGTGAGAGAGAGCACAAACAGCGTCCTGAGGATGGTAGGGGACCGGCTGGACTCCGTGCTGCTGGGCCGGTTCACTGAGCTGCACATGCTGCGTTCAGGTGTTTGGTGAATCCGCCCCGCTGTATGGGGTTCCACGCCAATATTGTTAAATTTTATTGTATTGTCATATTGTTACTAACATAGCATTTAAGAGCCCTTTTACAAAATTGCGCCGCTGCCATACTGATCGGCGCGTAGGTAGATTTGCACTAGTATATATTGCATTTTACGGGTGATGTTTCGAGTCTTATAAAATAATTATTAATGAACTAATTATTAAAATATATACATATTTCAGTAGTTCAATGATAGTAGATTAGTTTTATGAAAGTTTTTGATAGTAATCTCTTATCTATTAGACAAGTCCGTCCGTCCGTCCGTCCGTTCGCTGTTTCAGCGGCCAAACCGTAAGAGATAGATATAGAGAATGTTTAAGTTATAAGTTAAGAATAGTCTGATAAGACTACAAACCGGATGTGAGTATCGTAGCACTTCCGGTTTTCGAGAAATCACGTGATTTCTATTTCAAACGAAACCACGCAAAATCTCCGAAGTTCTCAATTAATTAAATACATTTTTTTTTTGGTGAACATTTGGTTCACTGGTTTGCTAGTTCTTTTTAATTCAATATCAAAATACGAGGTAAACATGCATTGTTTTTTGGGAAAACTCACGGAGGTTAGATGTTTTTTGATAATTAATGAGATAGAAAATCAAAATTCTAATACATTATGTTACAACAAAAACATATTTTTGATATCGTAGTAATTAATTTATCTAATTTATTGAACACTAGCTGACCCGGCGAACTTCGTACCGCCTTAGCGTAGCTTTGATGCACTACTTTATTTTGTATAGCTGACCTATCTTATGTATGAGTACCTATTCAATTTGAACTGGAATCGATATGGTGTCACAGATTACCACAGATTTTTTGTTTAAAATTGAATGACGTTGACATTCGTTACGTTATATTTTTCAATCTTTCTGAGAGATTTTCTTTATATTTTTTTCCGCAAGAACCTTGTACAGAGTATTAGAAAACTACAAAAAAAAATCAGCCAAATCGGTCTAGCCGTTTTCATATTATGTCGTGACAACGGAAAACGGGTTTCATTTTTATATATATAGATTATTTAGGGATTCAGGCGTTTGAAGTTATGCATTTTATCGTTTTTTCCGTAAACTAGCTGCGGTAGAACGATCAGTACAAAAAAAGGAAAATAGTATTTGCAAATATTCTACATTAACTTACAATAGGAAGAATAAATCTACTGTTTACTTCTACTGGAAATAGTCAAAATCATTTCTAAGGGGGTGAACGAGGCGCTCGAACCTTAAGATTTTTTGCAAAAAATGTGAAAGGGCTCTTAAGTCAATCATACTAACATTAGATATGTTGTGGATATGGATATGGACTCTGTCTGAAAATAAAGGATTTTATTTTATTTATTATTAAATAACCATATCGTGGTTGTTGTAGTCGTGGCGGACCGATCGTTTCGTAAAGCCGGCCGTGCCAGGGGCGGGTGGGGCGCTGCTGCGGGGCCCGCAGATGGAGGCCCCCGCGCCTCCGGGGCCCCAGCCCGCGGCTATGCCCGCGCCTCTAGCGCCCGCCGCTGCTGCCCCTGCCCCCGCGTCGCCGCAACCCACCAGCCCTATGGACATTTCGACGAAGGACTAAAGCACGTAGAGCTAACTAGATGACGCAAGTGTTTCGAATCGAATGAAATTTGGGCGTGTCGTATTTTGAGTTGGCACTGAAAAGACAACAAAAATGTTCTGAATTCGTACTCGATAGAACAAAAAATAGGCCACGACCAGGTGTTTTAAGTTTCAATTCTGTAAAATTCAAATTCAATATCGTTTATTCATCAGGCTGTCACAAGCACATAAAGCTTATGGTACAATTACAAATTTTGAATTGCGATATTGCCCTCCGGTATAGTCAAGATCGCGCAGATTTAATAAAAAAGCTTCAAAGGAAGAGCATTGCTCTTTTTTCAAGCGATGTACGTACACTTGCGTTATCTATTTCGATCTATATGTGTGGACTAAAACTGCGCCGACGCCAGCCCGTCGTTTCACGTGAGTGCGTTATAGGTACGACAATTAGCAACGACCATGAACATCTTTTTCGTGTACCCATCGAACCGACGCCCGCGATATATATCCCCATATAACTCGCGATGTGACTGCACCAATAGGTTTACCATCTTCCAAAATACAAAAATCTATGGGCGATGGTGACCACTTAACATCAGGTTGCCAGTCTGCTCGTCTGTCTTCGAAGATATTTATCTCCAAAAGAAAGACATTATGTCTTCTGTTTTTTCCACGCCATGCAAGTCCTCCGTGCAAGACATATGCTGAAAACCCTGTTGAAATCTAAAGAAAAGTTTACTATAAAAAACATCTAGCTGTTAAAAGCTTAAAAAATAAATAAAATCATAACCCTGTTGAAAGCCTGACAGGCTGGACAAGTATTACGCTGCGCAGGATAGATGTTAGTCCTATGCACAACAGCTTAACAGCTGTAGCTTAGCCTAGCTTAGAAAGCAGGCAGCGGTCGACAACCAGAACAATTCCCCATTACATTCTTCGTGATAAAGCCAAATGATAAAGCCAATCAGAACTGTTGTGGTTGATGTTTTGTTTAATCCCTTTAAACAAATCATCAACTGCAACAGTTGGATATTACATAATCTTGCTGAAGCACTTCAAACTTAGATGATAAAATAATACTTGATTCAACACATGCAATAGGGTATTTTCCATTTTTTTTAAAACTACTTATATTTAAAGATGGAGACAAACGATTTAACAGAAAAATAAAAATAAATAAATTATGTTTTTTTTCTCCATTAGACCAATTAAAGTTGAATTTATTTTTAATGGTTTTGAATTTACCGCCAAAACGCTCGGTACGATGATGTCTACTGTGTGACGTCAACTTTGTGTAATGAATTTTAACACCTATGTAATCTGTGGACGATCTGTGATTACGGAGTAATTATTTGACGATATCTTTTCTTTTCAAATATTTTGCCTACCCGCAATTACTTCAGTTACTCCGTGATCATGGCGCTTGCAACAGTGCCGAAATATCGGAAACTCGCTAAAAACAAGGTACATGGTAACAATCCCGTAAATAACTTATATTACTATAATGTTAGTGACCATGAAAGTTTAAAACAATATAAAGTTATTCCGAACGGAAAAAAGTTAATAATTTGACCTTCAGGTGATTACATAGCATCCACAAAGTTGACGTCATCGAACCGAGCAGTCTGGCGGTAAATTAAAACCTTTAAAAATAAATTCAGCTTTAATTGGTTTAATGGAGAATAAAAGACATTAATAAATTAATTTTTATTTTTATGTTAAATCGTTTGTAATCTTTAAATATAAGCAGTTTTCAATAATTTGGAAAATACCCTATTAATAAAGTCCTGGAATCGAAATTATATTATTTTGGTATGGGCTTCGATCAACAATTCCATAGATATCGGGTCAGCGCGTAAAATCCGTCTCGGTAAATATAGCCTCACTTGAGGCGTGAGATCTTATTTCATATTAGTTCGGTTTATACAAAACGAAGTAATTCACTGGCCAATGACTGGTAAAAATATTTTATTTTGTGGGTCATAAGGTTGATTTCACATTTTCTTTTTCCCACCTTTATCGTTTTTTTCCAAGTATCAGATATAATATCATATGTGCGAAATAACATTTTGTTATTTGTAACCTTACTCCTTTGTGAGATAGTTATTATTAGGTTTAACTTAAACTGTTTTAAAACATTTATCTTTGTTCATTGGGAATCAAATGTAGTTGCATAAAAATAAATATACGCGGACGGTTATTAGCTTTGATATTGTCTGCAACCCGTTATCTATAGAATTTTTGATCGAAGGTTATGCGTGACAAATTCAAGCGCCTTTCTCTAGACCAGCTATACTCTAAGTGTGTTCCGCGGAACCCTAGGGTTCCGTGATACCTCTGTCGGGGTTCCGCAAGAATTTAGAAATAAAAAAATCAAAACACCTCTCTCTGGTCGCTCCGCGGCTGTGCGGACTCCGCGGCCGCGCGGAGACAAAACGCTATGAATGTTATTTATTTATTTATTTGTATTTGTATAAGCTTGTGTTACATTAGCTGGTACAATATCTCATAAGTTTGGTCTCAACAATTTTATACTTGTACAACGCGTTCGCTCTAAGTTTGCCGGTCTGTGGAATGCGCGTACCCTCCCCCACGTGACAACAAAACTTATAATGTGTCATAGTTTTACCCAAATATCTAACGTACACAATTTTTATTGTTACAATTAAATAAAAAATTTCGAACGTCATACACTCATACCTATCGCCAGCGGCAAACTTAAAACGAGCGGGTAGTATACTTGTAAGCGCTCAATCTCTTTGATAAAAGCCGCCTCTGAATTAGACGCTATAGTTGTCAACTAGCGACTTTCGTCTCTAACTTCAAAGGATAAAGTCGATATTGTTTACAACGCTATTTTTAAATTTCTGTTTTTATTTTTGCTTTTTGTTTATCAAAGGTGCCGACTCGAGTATTTTCGAGAATATTTGAGATCGAGTCTAGGACTAAGTATAAAAGCGGCGATCGCGCGTTGGCGTCGTCAGTTGATGATTAGCGTTCGGAGCGATAAGTTACTACCTACTTACAAGCTCGCTAGCGAGAAACTGGTGTTCATTGTTTTACTGCCTGCTGTATTCTGTTGTCTCAGTTTTATACATTTCTTCCCTGTAGGTTCTAAATTTAGTCTCTTATACGCAGTAACGATTGTGCATTATTTAAACCCCACTATCCTGACTTGTAACATTATAAATAAAGAAGAATGGAACGTTGGCTTAAAGGTGTTAAACGTGTTCCAACAACATCTTCTAATGACGCTGAATGTTCAAAAGCAATGCGCGCGGAGAATTTAGCAATCACCGATCCAGAAGATGATGCCACGAGTGCCACGACGTCAAGCTCGACGGTTTCAAAGACGAAAAAAAGGAAGTATGATGAATCTTATATCAGTTTCGGATTTGTTGATTCCAACGGCTCACCTCTCTGCATGCTCTGTAGTAAACTGCTTCCTAATAGTTCCATGGCACCTGCCAAATTGCGTCGACATTTAGAAACCGTACACCCCGAGACTAAAGACAAGAATAAAGAATTTTTTGTTCGCAAAAAAGATCAGTTATTAGAAAGTCAAAAAAATATGATGCATGTAACACAAACTACCAACGAAAAGGCCACGGAGGCATCATACTTAGTTAGCTATCGCATTGCACAAGCAGGTGAAGCGCACACTATCGCTGAGAAATTAATAAAACCATGTGTATTAGACATAACAAAATGTATGCTTGATGAAAAATCTGCAAAGCATCTTTCTACTGTTCCGCTATCAAACGATACTGTTTCACGACGAATCCATGATCTGGCAAGCTACGTCAAACAAGAACTAGTTACACGTCTACAAAATACACGATTCGCTTTGCAAATGGACGAGTCGACTGATGTCGCTGGTTTGGCTATCCTGCTGGTTATTGTGAGATATCCATATAAAAGTTCTTTTGAAGAAGACATGCTTATGTGTTCATCGCTGCTTACAAACACTACCGGGGAAGAAATTTTTAATAAAATAAATATATTTTTTGAAGAACATAATCTCAGTTGGAACAATTGCATTGACATTTGTACAGATGGGGCCAAGGCGATGACAGGTAAAACAGCAGGAGCAGTGTCACGAATGAAAAATAAAGCGCCTAATTGTAGTTCCAGTCATTGTATTCTGCATAGACAAGCACTTGCGATGAAGCAAATGCCGTCTAATCTAAAATTAGTTATGGATGAAGCGGTAAAAATAATTAATTTTATCAAATCACGACCACTACAATCCCGATTGTTCTCATTATTGTGTGAAGATTATGGCAGCAAACATAAAACACTGCTGCTCCATACAGAAGTGCGATGGCTGTCTCGGGGAAAAACTTTAACAAGGCTATTTGAACTTAGAGCCGAGTTACAAATGTTTCTTTCAGCAGATACTTCTTTTAATTTGAAGGACCGTTTGTATGATAAAACTTGGTTGTTCCGATTGTCTTTTATGGCGGATATCTTTCAAAAACTTAACGAATTAAATTTATCATTGCAAGGTAAACAGACAACAGTGTTTCAGGCCTATAATAAAATAACTACTTTTAAAAGAAAATTAGATTTTTGGATCATTTGCATTGGTAAGAAAGAAATAGAAAGTTTTACGTTACTCACTGAGTTTGTTAGCGAAAACGACTCAGAAATGTTTGAAGATAATGTGTTTGAAGAATTGGTCCAATATCTCAGTTCGATGCGCGCATCTTTTGAAAAGTATTTTCCCGAAGAACACAATACAAAAATTAAAGTGAACTCCTGGATTCATAATCCTTTTTTACCCAACTTGGAAAAGCCTGAAAACATGTCAAATGAGATATATGAATCTCTTTTAGAAATGTCATCAGACACAAGTATGGAGTCATTGTTCAAAACGACGCCTCTTAATGATTTTTGGTGCAGAATCCAAGATGAATATGCAATGCTTGGCCAAATGGCTCTGGATATTCTTCTCCCGTTCCCAACTACATATTTGTGCGAAACAGGATTCTCTACCTACGCAGCCACGAAAACAAAATATCGCAATAGACTGGACGCCGAAGCTGATATGAGACTCCAACTTTCTTCCATCAAACCTGATATCAAGCAATTGATGAAAAATAAAAAACAGTTTCATACCTCCCACTAGTTAGATTTTTTCTTTTTTAATGTTTTCTATTATTGTCCTTACCAAGTGGTGAAGTAAATAATAATTAGTAACGGATACATTGTACTTTTATTATGCTGATTAATATAGAATACACTTATAAAAATAATTGTTTTATTGTAGGGTTCCATCAAGTATTTTGCTTCCCAAAAGGGTTCCGTCATTTAAAAAGTTTGAGAACCACTGCTCTAGACTAATGAGAAAGATTATTATTGCGAATTTGACAAGCGTCAATAAATGATTCCTAGCGACATGTGGTTGAGAATAATTAATTTATGAAAAAAGTATTTTTTTGTAGTATAATAGCTTTATTGTTTTGACACAGAGAGACCCTTGTTTAATAGATAGCCATAGATCCGATATTTCAAGCACTCGTGAAGTAACTGTAGTATTGAAAAATCTATCTTGAAATATATACAGTTGTTGTTTGAGAATCTCACCTACATCATTATTACAAAATTTTAAATGAAATTCAGTCACATTTATTAAAAAAAAAACATTTTCAACGCACTTGGATTATGACAGTTGTACAACAACAACAATAGATTGTTTAGATTAAAAGTGTTTAAATTGTGATAAAAGTGGTGTGAACTCGCAGGGCCTGGAATTCAATTAATTATTGAACCAGACTAATTTGCTTATAACCGTGACTTGAGTTTAGGTCGAATGTGGGGAAATAGCGCGTGGCGCGGATCTGACTAATTAATGCAAGGGATTGGCGTCGGTTCTTGTGTCAATTCCGAATTTGAATTTTATCAACGTATAGCTGGAATGGTAAAGAATTTTCACGATGTTCATTATGATGATTATGGACTGATTTGTGAATGACTGACGAATGTAAGAGGCATCTTTTTATTTTTAGTTTATTTACGCTCAGGGATTTGATGGTGTCTTTGAGTTTTTATTATATTAGAGTTGATTGAAAATTTTGGCACATATAGTGAAACCGTGATTTGATGATTATGGTATTGCATGTGAAATGTAAGAAAATCAGCAATATTGTTTATATAAAATTGCGAAGCGACGCGTTAAAATGCCCAAAAATTTGTATTTATTGTAACAACGATAATTCTACTTTTTAACATAATGTTCTTAAATAGGCGAGCAAATCTCTAGTTAGGTACGTAATAGATATGTTATATCGCCTCGATACAGTTAAATCACATATTTGATTATCCTTTTTGATATAAAATCATTTATTTATTTTGATGTTTCTGATGTACACGTTTTTATTGTTAGTTAATTGGAAACTAATAAATGATTTTGTATTTACTAAGTGGATGGTTGCATTTATTAAGAATTGCTCGCCCATTTTAATATTTACAATACAACTATCTGCTCACTTACTTGCCTTTGATACATTGGCACTTTCTTTGTTTCTTCCAATTGTGACACAGATCTTCTTTTTTGTTCTTTTATTCTGTCTTAAAATAAGTGTTAAAATAACGTATGTTCCGAATTCAAAGTTATAAATATGGTAATATTTGCTGTGCCGATATTGTAGCATTCGATTAGGTTAGTCCTAGCTAAATCTGTTATAAATTTTGTGTGAAGAAATATTAACCTAGCTTTGAAATGTACGGCAGTGGGGTTTACTTTAATTATTTATAGGCTGTGTAATTCACCTACGCGAGGTGTGAGAAGAACGAAATAAAATTGTAATCTATGCGATATATTATAATTATCACTCTGGGTTTATTACACTACTTTCATATAATGTTTGTAGAGTAGTAATATATGATAAGAATGTTGTGTTGTGCCCTTAAGGGTGTATTGTTGTGTTCGATGGCACGAATGGGAGTAGTGAATGAACCTTTGGATTTGATTAAATTATGCAAAAGTTCACTTAACATTATATTTTTTTTCAATGTTATAATAAAAAGAAGTATATTATGCATTAATAATGTCTTTTATTTTGCGTCCCAGACCTAGTAGTTTTGCTCTGTACCCTTGCTGCTCCCTGGAAAGAGTACAGTTGAAATTTAAATGCTGTAGCCTTCGCCATCAAATGAGCACCCAGAGGCCGTATAATGAACTCTCAAGCTAAGAATTCACGGCGCGATCGACCGCAACTCGCGTATATGTGAAATTGTATTTATTTAAGGATTTATCCGCGTTTGCCTTTGTCCAAATATAAATAAATAAAAAAAATCAAATCATAGATTAAAAACAAAAAGGGAGGATACGGCACTCGCGGCTCAAAACTGTACCGCTTAAATTGTGGTGCATGACCACAATTAGCTTTAGTCACAATTGGACATTCAAACACGCTGCATATGTGCACTCAATATAACAATATTGCGAATATTTTGTTAAATAAAGATTAAACAGTGCCTTCGCTGCTTTTAAAATGATCACAAATAGTTTAAGATCAAATAACAAATTCCACAGCAACACTTTTCATTCGTAAAACTATAAAAATACCCTTTTTTTCTCAAAAATCACAATTTGTCATGATTGTTATTAACGTATTTTGTCAAGCGACGCGGACACGCCGTTTCGCTCGCGCTGCGTTAAAGCGTACAGTTCTGTCTCGCTCGCTCGATTGAATGTTTATTCAAAGAAGAGTGCGTGTGTAAGAGTTGCTTGAATCGGAGTTGAATCGGAGCATATTTTATTTGATGCTAGTATGAGCGTACCGTATCTTCCCTTTTTACTCGTCTGCGCAATGCAAGAGCGCGAAGCGCGACGCGCAGACAGGGTATAGTGTTTAGCAGTCTATGTATGTATGCATGTTCTTTTGTGACACACGAGACCAAACGCGTTGACCGATTTTGATGATTCATACATCAATCGATTCGTCTTAATCATGGGAGTGCTACTAAAGATACTGGTACAGTTAGGCGCCATATTGTGGCGAAGTAAAAAAAATACGAAATATGTCATTGTCTAAATAATCGAAAATCATGTTTAGGCTCCCTACACCATTTTTCATTTTATATGACTGTTTAGGATCTACAACGATTTAAAGTTGTATATTATCCACTTGCACATTTGTATGATTACTTCTTACTTTGTTACTGTTTCACCTAAAAAATACTGAATGGATTTTAATGAAACTTTATAATCATATAGCTCATACATGATAATAACATATAGATAATAATTTATATAGTCATTGAGTGAATTGGTCAAAATATAACAATAAGGGTCACGTAAGACGGAAAAAATCTCCCATCTGCGAGACATTTTGGCCTGCATTACAAAAACAATAAAAGTTACATGAATATAATGTAGAGTGAACATGTATTTCTTAAATAGTTCTATAAAAAAGTCCGCGACACCATATATCTATTTTAAATATACAAGCCATCATCGCTAAAATAGTGAATCTAAAATAAAATATTATTAGATGTCCATTTCCAAAATGCACATTATGTATTTATTTACAAATTACTTTTTATCAAAATAAATACTTTTATTGCTTTTGATATTTAAACACGATAAAGTTTGCCTTTTGTACTATGACATTTCGACAAATATTTAAAAAGTTGCAACGATGAAAAAGTGATAGCGCGTGTACTATGAAGGAGTAGACTGCGGGAATAGTGGGAGAAGAATTTTGGTGTTTATAAACGTAGATAAAACCCAGGCGAAAAATAAAACTCATGTGCTACTCACAGTATCTAATCCTATACGAAGTACTTATAATAAAACTGTTAAACAGTTCCTTTTTATTAAATGATCAAAAGTAAATAATGATTATTGTAATTTAATGAAAATCCCAGAATAGTACAGTTTTTAAAGTTTATTTTAACGTTATTACTTCATTTTTCAAAAAAAGGGTTACTTAACATGATGAGAAATAACCTATTTTTCTCTAGTAGGTAGGTAAGACCGGGGCAGGGTGCATACATAAGAGAAAAAACGTAATATGAAAATCAAACTGTTTATTATGAATTTCTTAGAACAAAAGCAACATTAAGATTTAACATAATTATAATGTTTTATGACTCTAAATCACATATGTTTTTGGAAATAAGGAACTAAATGACACATGCCAAATATCTTGTCTTGCCCCATGTTCGGGGCAAAATGGGAAACGCTATGGGGCATAATGAGTACACATTTTAATCTGGTCGGCAACGTTCACATGTATGTGCATCTTTATCCTCATCGTCTACACCTGCGCAAGAATTATGGGCCCCAGCCTTTGCACTCTCTACAAATAACCCATTCTTCATTGGATTGTGAATATAAGTACCCACAATATATACAAGGAAAATCATTTATATCGTCTTCAGATGAACTAGTATCACTTTCTTCTTTGTGTCTTTTGATTATATTCTTTTAAAAACTTTATTTATTCCTTACTAAAATTTTATTTTTTACAAATAATAAACTTATTATTGTATAGTAATGAAACACTCTTTTACTAACATATATGGGACAAAACGGAATACTATGTCATTATGGCCCGACCTTTTTGCTCCAACAGACTCATTTTGCAAAAGTAATAACAGTTCCAACCTACAAAAGTATTAAGCAAAAAGGCAACGTAAATTCGTTAGTTTTATACTACTGCAACAAGTATGTGGAAGGTAATACAATAGTACTGATACCTACCTTGGTACACATCGATTCAAAACAGAAAACTTCGTAAAAATCCTCCCAAAAACTATATTTTCTCGCCACGCAGCCAAAACACGCAGTGATACATACGCACCCGCCGGCCTCATGCGACACGGCTGAACATCGAGCGAATGGCGCTGTGTTAGGGTACGGCCAGAGTGCACTCAGATTCAGATTCAGATTCCGAAAACAAGCGCGAGAAATAAACAGTGTAGTTTAAGCAGGTTGCCTGCTTTTTCTCGCGCTTGTTTTCTGAGTCTGAATCTGAATCTGAATCAGGAGTGCACTCTGGCCGTACCCTTAAGCTCTGTTGCGTTCACCAGTCACATACACAAGCACACTTCCCGTCCTGCCCCGAGCTTTGTCTTGCCCCGGTCTTCCCTACATATTTAATGGCTCCCTGTATTTATTAATCGGTTCGCGATAATGTTGGATTTGTAATAATAAACGATAGATAATTCTGCAAAATACTAAGTAATAAGGTTTAATATCAGCAGCAACAAGCAAAAAAATATAGGTAATGTAATTAATAATCAAATCACAAAGGACATTGTTCAGCGTCCATACATAGTTAGCCTAAGAACCAACAATCATGAAATATTATTTTCTAGGTTCAAAATCGTAAGTAAATGACTGTAAAAACAAAGATTATTGACGGACACTTCTGAGAACTTAAATTATTAGGAAAACTAAAATTTTTTTGAGGTTATGTTTAATATTCAATAAAACATAGGTCAACCTATGAACTTAGTATGAACTCAGTATGAAGTGAATTAATATTACAACTAATTCATTTTATTCGGTGCGATTTTAAAGAATAACTATTAGGAAAAACTTGGTTCGGTAGGAATCATGAATAAAATAAAAATTGTAGTTTTGCTTCTTATTTATTGACTATTTTTCACATAATTGTATCATATTGTTTATTGTATTTATTTGTATATCACATGTATATTGTGTAAATATGCACCGTGAATGTGTATCAGGTGTTCTTGAATAATTTGGCAGGATGATCCTCTCAGGATGTTGTGGCACTGGTTCACTAGCACTTGGTAATAAGGGCTCTGCTCTTAGGTAACATCGATGGCACATTAGATAGCCGAAATAGTTAAATTAAAGGAAAAACAATCGCAAATAAACACACACAACAGGTAATCCGAAACGAGAATGCACTTTCCGGTATATTATATTAATACTATTCTTTGGAATGCCACAGATTACTACGAATGCAAACTGCATGCACCACAACCACAGAGTAACGAGTTTTATGCCGGCCCTTCACTTGACAACAGTTTGTTCTTGTCATGCTTAATAAGGAACGAAAAGGACAGACTGATGTCATGTTTTGAAATAGCAAATACGAATAGCCAAGTGAAGTGCCGGCATTGGGAAGAAAGAGTGTTTTGTTTGCAGCGCTGCCATAGATTATACACATAAAATGGTATTTAATGTCTCAGATTATTTTTTACCTTTTTAATTTAGCTTACTTAACTTAGGAAGTGTCCGTCACAATCTAAATACTGATAATTATCGCAAAAAAAATACTAAGAATTATCATAAATGGCAAATTGGTGTTGATTCTTAGGCCAATTTTAACATTGTCCTTTTAGTACCTTACCTTTAAAGACAATAGAAATAATTTTTTATAAGTTAGCTTAATTAAATTATACATTATATGGTTTTCAATTAGGTTTTTGAGATGTAAACAATAGGCAAGAATGAGACAAATATTGTTTATTTGTTGTAGTAAGATAATTTTCTATCTGCAATATAGGTCATAAATCGGAACGAAACAGCAATATTTCTCTCTTTCCACATATGAGATCGGTGCCATCCTTTTGTTAAAGCGCAGAGATGTGCATTACTGCTGTCGATAAGAACTTACTATTGATACATTTATATTTAATTTATCACTATTTTATAATCTTTTGTCAATAAAGTCCAGTACTTTCCACAATAGAGGTCCAATGGGCACTTTTTATATAATCTTTTAGGGAGGTCGAATAGGGCATTACAAATAAGGTCTAGTGTAAGGTATAGGTATAGTTGCAATAGGGTCTAATCTTGAAGGTCCAGTGGGTACCAAAAAAGAGATCCAACGGGCACATTGAACATACAAATTTTAAGAAGGTCGAATGGGCCATGTAAATGAGATCCAATTATCACTTTTTGTTTTCGGATCGAATCTTGAGGGTTCAGTAGGTACAAGACCGATTTAAACGTTAGCGTAGTAGAATCGACACTCAGGTTACACGCACCTATAGTAGTCACGGGGCGACTTAGTTGCCCTGGGATAAAGAAGATACGAAAACCTTTATTATAAGTGCGCGTTTTAACCCGACAAATATAATATTAATAATGCAACGCTAAAGTTTGAGTATTTAAACTAAAAATGCTCCAAATATGCACTTAAATGCTAAGTTATGTTTGGTTATTGCGTTTTGTGATGTGCAACTACATTGCGCGTGGCTCGACACACTGAAAGTTTTTTTTTCATTTTACTACTGCTCTACACATACTACACATTGCCTTTAGTCAGGTAAAATTATAGTTTTTAAGTTAGTTCTCTTGCGATGCTTATGTAAATCAATGGGAACCCAAAATATTGGTGTCGGAAGTAAACAATGATAAAAATATTATACCACTGAAAAAAAATATATCAGGGATTGCCGACGCTGAGCAGTTGTCGCCATTCGGCATCTCAATGGTCAAAGAAATCGCATTTTACACACGCGTCATAAAGTGAGCAAACTGGGCACTGACAAAGTATGGGCTTATTTGTCTTGGTCTGCAGGGTTACAGGTAGACTAATTTGCATAATACCCCCCACGATGTGTTTCAAAACTTATTAAAATATTATTCTTAATGCATTTTAGATAAAAAACAATCCTGGAAATTTTTAACTTAACAAAATTTTGAAATTAAAGGTCAAAATATCTTTTTTCAAATTGATAAGCAGAGCAGTATCCTACTAACATACTTTAATTAAGATATGAAGGAAAATGGGCAAAAATAAACCACAATGTTAAACAAAATCATAGTAGTTACGGTATTGATTTTATTGACTACAAAATCATGACATATAGAAACGGCATGTGGGAACGATTGAAACAGTTTAGATTAAACAAGCATTTTTGTATCAAATATTTTTCTATTTGACACCTTATCAGTTATGTTTTTATTTATATTTAAGCATTTAACTGCTAGATGTTTAAATTTAAAAAAAAGTTTACTAGAAAAAAAACCTTATCAGTTTTTTAATAGTAGCTTTTATTGTTTTGACGTTCTACTGTTCGACATAGGGTCTTTATTGTAGAAGAATATAAAGGGAGAAATAGAATAAGTACGTACGTACTTCAATCAAATAGGTACACGATTCGATGAAAAAAAATGGAATTTACAGTAATAGTGTGTTGTATTTTTTAACCGTATTCGACGGAGAATGCTGCTTGCTTACATAGTCTTAACACCAATAAACTGTATTTTTCACCAAATTCAATATTTAAATGTTTCGGTTACAAGAACAAACAAACGCTTGAAATTAGATTCAAATAGAAACGTTAAGCCTTTGCCGAGGCGACCGACTCATACTCATAAAGCTTGTTAGTTGTGTACAGAGAGACGTATAGTTGTCGTAGCCTATTGATCCTTCCAATAATTATCGAACACGTTTCATGTCACCATGTTTGAACATGTACAAACACACAAAAGTGGACGAGTATGGCGGATACGAACGCGACTCTTGTTTGTATGTTTACGTACGGAATCGTAAAGTAGAGGCAGGCAGTAGGTAGAGCTAACAAAAACCAGAGACAGCGAGAGCAACGCTCGTTTGGTGCAATCACCACATGGGCGACTGTTTGTTTTCTGTTTCAAGGGATTTGTATAGACATTGAGGTACAAAACTGTAAGTATATACTTTAAGCTAAAACTTAAATCTCGCTGGGAAGTCAACAATGATAATGATGGAAGAATGATGAATGAAGGAAGTGAATAATGATTTATAAATAAATATAGATCTCTAACACACACCCACACACCGATTAACAAAGTAAAGCTTATGTTATGGGATACTAAGGTAACAGATAGAATACAGATACTGATAAATATATAATTATATTTTTATTTAGAAATATCTGTAAATATCCATGACTTAGGTACAAATGTTCGTATTTATCACAACATTTGCGCCACTGGGATTCGAACCGGGATCTCTGAGTAAACGACACTTTGAAAGACGGCGAACATATTACTCGAGTCACGGAGGTCGTCCAAAGTTTAATTTAAAGAAATTTTTACTAGATAAAGTTTCACGTGCTCCAGGCACAGACGGTCCAGGATTCAGCAGTGATTGTTAACTTTTATCGATCACAGAACATTGAAAAACTTATAATATACATGTAGGTATAGTTATTGGTATTTCAGTTTTAGAGAAAACTACAAGAAAACTGTTAAATGTGTGTGGGAGAAGAAGCAAGCATAAGCTATTTATATTATAAAAAAATACGTAACGCGTCGATGTCTTTTCTATGAAATTACGTAATGACAAAAATCGAATATAAAACACAACCTAAAATATCTTGCGAATAAAGATAATGTGAATGCCTTCTTACATTAATAAACCTAATGATCATAGGTATTAAAATCTTCGTGATGTCGAATTTTTGATGCTCCGCCATTGATACTATGCAAGAAATGAAAATGAAATGGAAATAGTGGTATATATAAAGTAAATGATGTTTTTCTATAATTAGCTAACATCTCGAGATTGCTTTGCATTAAGTTGTTTGTTTTTTACTAGTTGGAAAAATACATATGTGGTGTAAAAATTATCGAATGTAAACCCAGTTAAGTACGTATTCATATTCACAGTTTCATACTCGTACGGCAGGTACTCGAACTTCCTTAGCAGATTAGCTTTACCAATATTCTGGCACAAATTCATCTTTATCAGCGAAACGGTGAAGTTAAAAGCATTAGAGCATAGCGGATTTTTCGCTCGTATTGGAGCGCCCATCAGGGGAAGTAAACTCCACCTTACAGTAAAATAACACTACCTTTTTGTTTTTGGTTTTTCTTTTTTAGTGTGTATGCTGTTGGTCGCAGATGACCTTTACAGCGTCATCGGATTTGGTCTTATGGTGGTGTTGTGTTTCTGTCGGTGATTAAGGTTCCAGGGCTCCACGGGGTAGGGGGTCGGGTTTATAGGCTATGGTGGCAGCTATAGCAGATTGGCTGTACCAACATAGTGGCACAAATTAATCTTCAATATTGAAACGGTGAAGTTAAAAGCA